CCCCAAAACCCCAAAACCCCTTTAAGTTTGAATCAATAAATTTGGTAAAAATGATAATTTAAGAATAAAGTTAAAATCAATATCATCTGCTCCTCAATTTAAGCATTCTGACCTCAGCAGCAATACGTCTCTGAACAGCACTGCTCTTATTCGTAATTAATCTCATCTTCATCTGCACTTCTTAGCTGATATCTTCACTATTTTTCATCGATTCTACCATATTTTCAAGATCATTCTCCTAGTTCTATAGCTAACTTAAACTCTCCTGCATTTTATCAAGATCATTCTTAAGATCATTATAATTATCCTCGAAGTGTTTCATAACAATCTCTATTTTACCAAGAACGGTGGAAATATTATCTGACTCTTAAGCTTTCTTGTCATCTAAGAGCTATCTGTACTTTGCTAATAGTGAGTCGCTAGCTTCTTATAGTAGGCAAATAGGTATGGCTATCTTAGTCTCTCCTTGTGCCAAAGTCTAGCAGTTATCTGCTGACAAAACATTGATATCAATATATCCAGGTAATCTTTCAAAGCATCTATCAGCACAGAATCCATTCATGCTATGCTTTGGGAAGTCTTAGACGATGCTGTTGATCACCTTCTTATCCAAACTAGCCATCATACAAATAGGAATCTTTGCAATCTCAACTAGCATGACCTCAGTGGAGTACTCTACCCCTATTTTAGGTTTTACCTCCATAACTGAATCTTTCTTCATTCTTATTTCTTTGAAAGGTATCTCCTCAATCACTCCAAAGCCTCCATTATAAAGGAGTGAATTAATGCATTGATCTCTTACAAGCACCTTATATCTTAATATCTAGCCATTAACATCTGTCTTGAACTCTTCAAAGTCTTTAATTGTTTACTCGTCGTCCATATAATCCACTTCTATAGACACTTCATCACTAGTATCATTAACATGCACGTGAATAATGTTCAGAACATTAGCTAAATATTCACATGTATATATCTTAGTCACACTACCCCTGACATAGCCACACTCTTAATCTATTCTGAATGATTAGAACTTAACTTAACCAAATTCTTTATTGATGACCTATGTAATCGCTTCAGCTTGTTTATTAAATCTGATATCATAATCCTGAATTTGAACACCTGTTGGGTAGACCTCAAGAGGCATACATTCCATTTAATCATCAATTTGCATTAGTTGATACTTAACTGTAAACACATGCTCCTTAGTGTTGAGCATATCTCTCTTAAAATTATTTTCATCCTCCAAGTTATACAGACTGTACTTGGTGAAGAACGTATCCTCATTAGTTGAGACTAGATTTACAACTAATCCTTGCTTATCATCTAGCAAAACTCCACTCTTGTCGTAGACTCTTCTTAGAAGGATCTCGTTAGTATCTCCTTTATACTCTCTTATGGCATAGTTTATGGGGGTGTCGTCTAAACTATAAACATATCTGCCTTTTATCAAAGCTCTAATGTTAGAAGTTATAATCTAATACTCTTCATCTGAGCCTTTCATTTACTCTTTTGTAAGTGCAATACCTTCTTTTTCTGACGCAGCTTCAGCTAAGTTTAGCATTTCTCTAAGTCTGTTTAATTTTTAAATTAGGTATTTGTTTCTCTGCATATATTTATAAAGCTTTTCCTTTCTCTCTGTATCTTCAAGCTATTCAACCTTGTCCTCCTCTTCTTAAATTAATGTACTGCCTATTCTAACACTCACATCCTTCATTAATGTATTCTACTTTTGTAGATTGTAAAATTCCTTTTGATATAATTTCTTCATTTCAGGATGCACAAATGATGGTAGCTTTTGCAATACTTGAGGAGTTAGTTCACTTGCAATCATTGGTTAATTAAGTGGGTTTTTAATAGCATACTTGAAGTTAGTCTATCTGCCTAGTTTGCTCTCACTGAATTCTTGATTCGTATCGATAGTAATGTCTCCATTCACAATGAATTGATATCTGTACCTATATCCTGCCAGTACATCTACCTTGTAAAGAAATATCTGGTTAGTAAGGCGTTGCATTATGTCGGGCAGCCAGTTATTGAATTCACCCATTATCAAAATATCCTCATCCTCATGAATATCGCTATTGCTCTGATAGGATAAGGTCAATTCAATCATTTGCTTCTACATCTCAGGAATATCTCCAAAGAGCCCCTCTGACTCGTCCTTCATTTCCTCATCCTCGTATTGCTTTTATTCTAATGAGTTTATTGCATTTGCTAGCTAATCTAAATTTAATTTTTATTCCTGCTGCTCTTGCTAGTCTAACTGTACACATTTGCTTTCCTCTATTTGCTGTTAATTAAGCTACTATTACTAGCCATCTTCATTTATATTTTAATTGGGAGGTGGACTTGAAATATCATTTTAAGTGATATCATTGATGATGCCTTCATATTTAACCTTTAAGTCATATATCTCTCCTGTTAATTCCTCTACATTCTATTTTAATTCGGCATTTTCATTCTTAAGATTTTTATTCTCCTCGTTAAGCTAATCTAACTGCACTTTCTAGGAGTCGATTGTTTAAAGCAACTCTGTTACAATATCATCACTCATTCTAGGTCAAAGATTAAATAAAAAATTGAATATAATCAGAATTCACTTTTTATATTTGCTTTTAAGCCATTCCTATTTATCCTAACGGGGTTTTGGGGTTTTGGGGTTTTGGGG